ACGCTTTGCATTTGGGCTATCGATATGGCTCTGAGTACTGATCATCAGTCATAGTTGTTTGCCAGGGAGCTGTCACTCAGCTACACTGGCTGCGCGGCCTTCCATTCCTTCTAGCAGGCTGCGCCATCTGTGCTTGCTTCCTATCCGACATCGTTACGTCTTACGTCTCTTATCTTTAACCTTTCATCTTTTTACCTGCTCCATTTTCTACCCTCTCTGTTGACTATCGTCCCCTCCGGCCTCCTTCTCTTTGAGATGCTCCAGTTTCTTCGGATCGGCAAGGTCTCTGGCGTCTCTTTCTCAGGATTGAGGAAGTCGGCAGTGACCTTGATCGAATGTTCTGAACAAGGAGAAGCAAGAAACGAGTTCTTGATCTCGAAGGATCATGTACTGGACAAATCGTAGGTATAAAAATAAAATATGGGCTCGGCTCTTGGTCTCACAGCTGCTGCCGCGTGTCCGTGTCCATCTCGAACTGCGTCCCGTTCTCAAAGTCGAAGATCGTCGATAATTATCAATCAATTTTAATATATGTACCCCCTTATAGGCATCATGCCTTGATACGAATAAAACTGAAACCGCTGTTTGCCCAATGTCTACAATAAGTATAATTCATTATCATCGTTGTAGTAATATTGCTGGTTTGTCGATGAAATATGCTGTAACGTATTTTTTTCTTAACTCGACACCGATAGCGAAAAACCCGAGAAGAAACTATTTTCGAAAACCAACCTACGTCACCTTTTGCCCATCTCCAGCGGGGCACCGGTATTTCACCCGGGCGTCTGCCGGACCGTGGAGACGTCTCCGTCGGGTCGTCTCCTCTGCCAGGCAACGCGGTACGTCAAGACTATCTCCCCACGGCAGATTCGAGAACCTCGACCTCAACTAAAGAAAAACGAAATCTTCCGAGAGCATTGGCGTAACTATGCGAATTAACCTGAGAGCGTAGCTTGTGAGCAGGGTGGCGGGCGACCCGAAGGGAACCAGAAAGCGGGAACGTCATCTGTATCGGTAGCCGAAGTCGCCTGTGACCGTAAGTCACGTCAGGAAAAAATCACGTCACAGTACATACGAACTCGAATACCCGAGTCGAAACTTTAACACCGGCTTGAATTTATAGAACCTCCGTTCCTTTGTTATTTGGGTTTGCCGAGCAGTGTAGCACCAGTTTCAACCTAAGAGATCCTGCAGGCAGAACTTTCAGGTGAATATTGGCTTCAACGAGAGCGCATAAACACAATTTTAGACCCGAACAGCCTTTCGATATATAATTGTGATAAAATTGTCATTGCTGGACCCAAGGCGACAGTTTGAGGTTCAAGCTGATGTTAACTCACTGGAGTTTTGCCTATTGCATAATCTCAATGTCCCTGCGTAGAATAAAGAAATTTAGGCCGGTGCTAAAATTTTAGCTCGGGTATACTATATAGTAATACTAATGCAATTTAAAGTCAGGTGGAAAATGACTGAACATTCCAAGGGAAAGATGGGAAAAGTCAAGTGACGGGGAGGAAGCAAGTTTAACGCAAAGGAGAGCACGGCGAAGAAAAGTTGAAGAAATTACATTCTGTCCGGAGCAGAATTAATTATTCACGCCGGTAATAAAAGAGAATGGCAGCTCACAGTTTGCCTTTATATTCAATTAAGGAAGGTACGATTGTTTTAGGAAAGTTGGTATTTTTAAAGGAGGCTAAGAAGGAGAAAGAAAAAGGGAGGAAAGATTCGAGGGCAGAATCGCGCATCGAGAAACATTAAGAATAAAGGGACGAAGCAATCGAATGAAAAATCCACCAAACACACAAAACGACACCCGGAAGTCCTGAGAAATGGAGAAATAAAGGCGAAACGCGGAAGAAGAGAATCTCAGAATTACAAGCGCTTATGCTTTAGTCTAGAATTTCTTTATATTTCCAATAAAGTTGAAGCAACACGGAGCCCATGCAACGGAGACGCAGAATAATAGCCTCTGTACGTAGATGCGCACCTGTGCACCTTTCGATGCCGCCAAAAGATACACATTAAAAAGAAAGGACATCGAATCGCTCAAGGTTCAAGCCGCAGTCGATGGACTCTGCAAGTGCAAGGCAAAAGACCTGCTGTTTAATGATGACACGTGTCAGATGGAAACCGTGAACGGCTGACGAGTAAAGAAGATTGCGCGAGACGCGATCCTCCTCGCAGCTGCGCCGCGACTCAACCAGCTCCGAGAATTGCGCTTACGATCCAACGCAAAATACACAAGTTACAGTTATACGTATGGAGCGTTCATCGCCGTCCAGTTGACTGACGCTTCGACGGTCTCACTGAAATGCACTTCTTGTCCTGACACAATTAACCGGCGGTCGTTCATTCCGTCACGTCTTCCAGCCGATGGATATACATAGTACTCTGCGGCTACTGTGCACTGTGCTATCATTGACTTTCTTGTTGTCGGCCTGAAAAGACTCCCACCAGTGTGACTTATCTGGAATGCCCGAGCAGTCGGACGGTCGAGCGAGTAGGTAATTCGCCGGCTGATTGACCAGCTGACTGGTTGACTGGTTGACTGGTTGACTGGTTGACTAACAAGTAGCCTGACAGAAGGGCATTCGGAACGGCAGAATAGCGAAGCATATTAATGCGGGGAACCTTCGAGCATAATGTAGGTCGTAAAGGCTTAACGATGTTTTGGCAGCAACCTGGCAGTGGCCTGGTGCTAATGGGATGTTTTCACGTGTCAGCTTGATATTAATTACTGGGCCTAGCCCCCCCCCCCCTTATTCTTCTGCCCACTTTTCGTTTTATTCCACAGCGGCCCACCCTCTTTCATTTCTGCTTGGAGCTTCGGAATTCCTTAATCCTGCATCCTCTGCCCGTTCGCTCTGCCCGTTGCCAGTCTCTTGGTTTCTCTCCTCTCGATTCCTTGGTTGCTCCTACCGTTCCTTCCCAGTTGGTCGATCGACTCATCGGTTGGTCCTATGCAGGCAGTAGGCAGTACTTGGCCTTCTTCGCCATTCGCTTTCGAGAAACTTTGTAACTCTTTGACGGGCAAAGATTACATAATTATGGGGTACCCTCGTACAGTCGTACGCAAAAACGCGAACGAACGGAGGCAGCGAAGATCGATGGTTGCAATTTTTATAATTTCAGCTCTTAGATCGATTAGACACGCGGCGACACACGGCGGATAAGGATGTCAAATACGTGCGAGAGCCAAGAAGCGAAGATGCGGCGGAGCCAGAGAAGCAGAGAAGAGGAGAAACGAAGAAGCGGGCAAGAGGAGACGAAAACAAAGTAGGCGAGCTGAGAGGCAATTAACGTGCGTTGGGTACAATGTCGGTATCCTGCTGCCATATTTTAATAATATCCTCTCGTAAATAACAACCGAGCTATACTAAAAGCGTCCCGACGGCGACGCGCCTCCCCGCAGGAATAACCTGTTTCTCGCGCCGTTTATCTTTTGCTTCAACTTTTTGCACGTTTTTGCGAGCGAACGAATTTTACGAATCGCAGCCGAGGAAGCGCGATGCAACGTTCTGCGTTTCCTTATGACCTGTTCACACTGAGTGTGAGAGAGCACGAAGTGTCGGGGCCCAGGTGGCCACGTGGTAGGCACGTGGAAACCGAGAAGATCACCTCGAGGACTTGCGAGGATCGCGCAGACTCCCAATAGACGGGAGTGCACGCACGCACGCACGCACGCACGCACGCACGCACGCATGGAGCTGGAAGCTGCGTCGGCCCGCCGCATTATGCATTTTTCTCCCGGCTCTGCAATCTGCCTCCAAGATTACGGAACACGAGTACAAGCAGCCTCGGCAGCTCGCGGACGCGTCTTTTCCTCCGTCTCCCTCCCTCCCGCCCCTCGCGCGCCGATCGATCGATCCTCCAGATCTCCACGGGACGTCGCCGAGCGGCTGCGCCGAGCAACTCAAGTCGCCTTTCTTGCAACAGTCCCGCGAGTGCACTTCTCGAACCTCCATCTCACTTTTTCGAGATACTCCAGCATCTCGAGGATCTCGAGGATCTCGAGGATCCCGCGACTGCGGCACAGTTGAGGCACCATTGTCAGATCTCCGACGTAGCTGCGACGTCTTTGACTTTCCTGCATCCTTTGAACCGAGATACATTAAGATGTCGTGTTCGTTCGAGACACGAAGACGGAATAAAGTCGAAGAGAACTTCAAAGGAAGAACAAAACTTCACAGCACGTTGCATCGAAGAACAAAGAATGTCAATTGTTTTTCCTACCGATGAGTTTTCTCTTATTTTCTCGCGCGTAGGAAGCAATTTTCATTGCGATCGTCGTGATCGTCGTGATCGTCGTGTCACCATCTTTTGCTACCTTCAGCCTCTTCAGCCTTGAGAGTTTCCCTCGAGCTCGCTAGCGATTCCAGGGCAGCTCAGGAGGAGCCTCGCTTCCCTTTGGCGTTTTCACTTAATTTGGTGGGTTCGGTGGGGAATTTTAGTGGGGCGCCTTCACAGACACTGGCAGGCAGTGCAGCCTGAAGACCTGCATAAGTATTCACATGCAAAGGGATCATCAAGTGCACTTACGGTCCGGAAATGCAACCAGCTGCGCACCTGCGTGCGCACCCTGCTGCACCAAGGTGCATGTCCGAAATGGCTCTTAAATTGCGTTTAAAAAGCAATTTCTCACGTCGCGTGACACTCGCGCCACCTGGTGGCGTTACGATTCGTTCCGTCAAATTTTCAAAATTCTTACGGCAACTTCAGGAAAATCCACTTGCTAGTACATACTTCACGTACTTCACTAGGAAATATTGGGAAACTCGAAACTCGAAACTCTAACATTTCGAGATTCTAAAGAGTCGATGGGCAATGAGATGAAATTGATATACGTAAACACATATAGAGTTATTCGTCAGGACTAGCATAACGACTGGAGTTGGCCTGAAATTTGTATTTCCATGGCGAAACGTGGCGAAACGTGGCGAAACCAACTGCAGTCGGTTGGAATGAACTCCCGAATGGCTTTTGTGTAAAACAGCTGTATGTTATCTACAATAACCAGCATCTACTTGATCAAAAAAAGAAAGAGCTTTGTCTTTGAATCCTACCTTTCTCGTCGTGTAAAGTTTGCGGCCCTGCAGTAACATTTGCATCTTTCTCCAAGTTTTCGAAGATTCATCTCGTATCCACACTTGGCTGAAGACTTGAGGACACTCGACGTCGTCCCGCGACAAATAATTCTGATCAACAAAGCACACGGTTCGTTCAATAGTTTATATCTTTGGGAAAGCAAAATATATTTAAGGCTCAAAAAAAGGGGCAGCAACTTTACTTACCCTTAAGGCGCTTTCCACGTCAAGGAATTCGCTTCGATCCTCGTCGTTCGGGAAGGAAACCATTTCGCTGGGAAAGAATTGCTGAAAAAGAAAAACGAAAGACGAGAAATATAATAAAATTCTGAATTGATCTACGTAGTATTGATCGCACTTGCTCGATATCAATACTCAGTGATAAAATATCTGCGGCTGCGTCGCATATCGAGAGGAGAATTATTGTCCCCCGCTAAAGACTATACTTTGCAGAATCTTGGCTAAACAATGATTCGCGCACAGCCCGTTAATAGTTTCGGGGCCGGTTGGTAAAATTCGGTTGGTCAATATTTGCCCGTCGACTTCGAATCAGAGTGTAGAAAAACCCGATGATTCGGGCTGAAACTGACTAGCAACGGACTAGCAACTGCTGAGTGTTCAAGCGGTTCAAGCGGTTCAAGCGGTTCTCCAGTAGCGCGTCGCTTCAGCCTCCTAACCCTTTCGCAGTAACTCTAACGCTTCGCTCCGAGGATCCCTAGTAAAAGGCCTTTTGTGCGGCACCGTAAGACACGCTATACGTAAGTAGCACATGCCACGTGAAAGATGTTCGCGACTGCGACGTCAAAGGACGGCCAGGATGGATTCGTCCTAATACCCCTCTCGAGCTGGTGCCGCTGGTGCCGCTGGTGCCTAACGGCGCTCTATTGGGTTGATCGCCGACTTGACGGCAACTCCGACTCTGACATCCCCGACTCCCAGAGCTCCGTGTTAGCGTGGCGAATCCCAAAGGTGCCTCCTTGCCTTCTTCTGGCTCTGCGGACGATCAGCCGTACAGCGATCCCCGATTACTGATCCCGTCAGCCCTCTGCCGCCGAGTCCTGCAGCCCTGCAGTACTGAACGAATGGGGGCGTCGTGTGGCGCGAATAAAGGAAGGATTAAAGGGCCCGAAAGAAGCTGACGGATCCATTTGGAGCACCCTCACACTTTAGGCCTAGCACCATCCGATTCCTGCCCGCACGTCAATAAATCCCAAAACTCTTTTTCATTGATAACTATATAGGCGATTAGCAGAATGTAACTTGCAGAGCGCAGGACTGTTTGTTGTTAACGACGGAATTTTTATCGATCCGCAAGAGTGCAAAAAGGAGCACGGTAATTTTGCGCTATTCCCGTTCCGTTGGCTTCGAAAAGCGCTGACCGCGTGATATTCGGTGCTCTTACGAAAATTTACGAGGGTCGACGTGGTTGTTTGAAAAAAAAAAAAAAAAAAAAAAAAAAAAAA